TAGGAAGGTCTTGAGAGCTGCCAGAGTAATGTTTTTCTACCAGCAAAAACTTAACCTCCTCTTAGATCTTCATTTCTGCTTTGTCCTGGGTGTAGCTGCAGTGAGTGCTCAGTCACAGCCATCAGGACGGAGATGTGTTGTCAGTTGTTTTATTTTTGATCCCATTTGAATGTGTCAGTCAACTGCCTCGAATCAAAGAAAGTGAGAAGGAGCCTTTAACAGTTGTGATTGGAAACTTCAGACTTACCTTTTTTTTTTTTTTCATTTTTATAGACACTAACTAAATGCTTGGCAGGTTCTTGTGAATCATAACATTTCTAAATATATCAAAGAGGCTCTTTGCCAAGCTGCTGGCGAAGGTGGTGTCTATTCCTATTGACTCCTTTTTCCCCTTCAGATTATTTTATCATTTAATAATTTCAAATGTTAATGCAAAAAAGCCAGGGACTCTTAACTAGGCTGGCTAACATTGTGATTAATGAAAGTGTAATGTGAGCTACTGTACAGCCATTAGAAACCAGTTAGCTAATTAGTGTAATCACAGGGGTGGAAATAATTAAAAGACCATAAAATAGAGGTAACTTAATAACAACATTTTCCTCTGACCCAGAACTGGTGGGAAGAGGGTGGTTTGCTGGGTTAGGAGCAGAGAGGAGTGGAGATGGAGGGTTCTGTGAGTAATTGCTGTCAAGGAGGTCTCGGGGCACAGACAAGCAGAACAGAGCAGATTTTACACCAGCATAATCCAGATTGCAGCAGAGTCCTCTGGCAGCAACACTTCACACCACTGCACCCCTCTCCCATCTTATGCTTTGTCACAAGTTTAGTGACAAACTAATCAAGACATGGGTGAGGCAGGATCCAGCTGGTTTGGTCTTTTTTACTTTTTTGTTCCCTTTCCTCCTTCCCAGGTTATTAACAAATATAGTATTAAAACTTCCTTCACATTCCCTGAGTCCACCAGGTTTGGTTTCAGGAAAGGGAGAAATCAGTGTCCTAAGGTGCTTAAGAAGAAAATCCTGTTAGAGGAGTCCCTATATTTATAGAGCTTCTAATGTATTTATGTATGTTATTCTCTGTAAGTTTCACAAAACTCTACAGCTTGTTCAAAAATCTCTTGCTAAGAGGAAAGAGCCTTTCTGGGCAGAGGGGAGTGGTGCAGTGACTGATGAGGGTGACAGTCACTGTCAGAGCTGCTCCCAGGAGTTGGTGCCAAGCAGATGTGCCCCCCCACTCAACCCTCACCTGCAGCCTTTGCACTCAGGTTGGTGCAGACAGCCCAAGCCCTTTGGGCAGTACCAGCACACTATTGTGGTGGTGAATCCAAAACAACCCCCAAAATGTGTGCCCTGGTGCTTCTCTAAGGGGTCTCCTATGCAGGACTGTTCAGGTTCATCTCTTGTTAATGAGAGATGGGGGACGGTGTGATGGGCTGGATCTCACCCCTGCTGATTAGAAGTGACCTACCTCTGGCTGTTAGGTGAAATAGCTCCACGTAACAGGCAATAAAAAATCCTAACTGGTAATTTTCCACTTGGGATGGGTCACCACTATGGCCATCTCCATCGGTTCTTATCATTTCTGCCACGGTTTGTGTGTGTTTCATTTGACCTGGGTCTAATGAGCAGAGAAGACTGAACAGTAGCTGCAGACACACAATCAAGGATCAGCCGCCGGAGCTGATGAGTCTGCCGAGACTGCTAAGTGGGACTTCATTAGCTATTCACATGCAAAGAGCAATCCTTATTTATTCTTCTTTCCTAGGTGAATCTATTTTTGAATATCTTTTGTGCTGATCTTGTCTGGGGGGTGGGAGGTTGGATGGAGGGTACCACCACTGCCGGTTAACCAGATGATTGTCCTGAAAAATTAGTGTGACACCAAGTTGGCAGCAAGTTGAAAAGAAGAAACAATGTGATGCCATTTAGAGAAGGAAGGAATCATTTTCCCCTGTGACTTCTCTGGTAGGAGGCAGAACTTTATCTTCTCTTTGCAGCTCAAATGAAGCATCACAGCAGTAGCATTAACTGTGCTTTCACGCTCCCAGCTTGTCTTTTCATTAACCTTATGTGTTTTTTTATTGCTGTAGCAGGGAACACGCTTTCCAGGGAGGGTTTGCAGGGGAGTCACTGGAGCTGCAAGCCCGGGATATCCCAGGCAGGTCCCCAGGCTGCACATGTGGTGTTATTGCAGCCAAGGGGACGAGCTGGTGGTCTGTGCTGCCTGTACGTGAGCTTGCAGTGAAGAAGGGAAACCTGACGTGTGTCTACAAGTCTGCTGGAGAGGGGGTTTTGGAGCAGCAGGTCATGGTGAGCCTTGCTCCAGGTGCATATTATCCCGCGAGCTCAGCCGTGTGAATCACATCCTGGGACATCCTCGAGGATGCGGACGGGTCAGTCCTTAACCCTTGGCAGCACCAGTGGCTTCTTGACAGAAAGGTGCCTTTCATCTGCACAACCCCTTTTTCCACACCGGGCATTCCTTAAATGTTCTCATTTAAGCATTTCCTGAAAGCCGTGTTCCCTCTGTGCTGGGCCGGTTGGGTGCGGATCCTCTCGCCCTCCCGGCCGTATCCGCCTGTGGCGAAGGCTGCCCTCTCCCGACACGCCGAGTATCCGAGGGATGCGGTGGCTGAGCCGGGGCCCAGCACCCTCGGCCAGCACCAGCCCCGTCCCCGCTGCACCGTGCACAGAGCAACGATGTCCCGTCCCAGTGGGCACAGATGATCCCCCGAGGTGGCCTGACCCCATCACCAGCTGCCTCTCATGCTGGATCCAACCTGCATCCCCCTCGGGCAGCAGGAGAGTGCTTCTTGAGGAACCACCCAGAGCACTGCACTCCTGCAGATTTCCATTTTACCAGACCAATCCCTGCCCTTCCAAACCTGCCCAGTACCTTTTTCTTCACGTTTTGTTTTTTTATGATCTGGTAGTGTAGGTGTGAGTACCGTACTCCTCTGAGTTGTCTTTTCCCAGCTGAGTCTATTTGTGCTGCAGACTGTGTGGGTGCCACCCTGGGAAAGCCACGTTTAGCAGCATGTTGCTCCAGGAAAGCACTTTTATATGAACAGGGATGTGAGACAACCATTTGCACCTCTGGGCTTGGCAAACAGCTGATCCATGAGAGATGACTTTTTTTTTCCCCTTGTGATTTTGACCTTATTTGCTGAAAGTGAAACATCATTCAGCCTTCCAGGAAATACCACAAGTCTTCGATCTGACATGAGAACATAAATCTTCTGTAAGAGTTCATCCATTCTGCATCTCGGGTCTCTGGATCTGAGTTGTGGACATGGGAGTGGGAATCTCAGCATCCTGAATCCAGGGCAGTAGAACCTGAGCCCCTGCACCTCCCCAGCCTAGGGAAAAACATCCCCATGGTGTCAGGCCCTTACTGAGTTGGTTCTGCACCAGTTCCTCATGGAAAAATTGGGATTTTTTTGGCCTGAATCACCTTGAGCATGTAAATTTTTTGTAGGACAGGTGAAACCCTTCCCCTCCACTTCTGTGGATCTGGCTGAAATAAAACACAGCTTTACAGCTCAGAGTAACCCAGCTCTCCATGCTTCAGACTCCCCTAATCCCCTCCTAGAAGAGAGCTCAAAGGCTGTAGCATTGCTGAAGTCTCAGGCTCTGCACACCACGCTCAGCAGCGCAGCCCCAGCTCACACCTCTGACAGCACATTTCCTGAGCACGCTGCCTGCGTGTCCCTGACCTTACTGTGCAATCAGCCTTTGTGGGTTATGCCTCCCCCTGCTATTTTGGGGGACCACAGAGGCCTTTCCGGGAAGGCAGTGGGGCAGCCGTGGGGCTCTTGTGCAGTTCATTGAAGGTAAGAGGTTATTTGTGGGACAATGTGACTCTACATCTTTCCACCTCCCACCCACCACGAGGGGTTTTTAACAGACATCATTTTGCTCGTGAAGTTCATGCTTTTACATCCACACTGTTCCACCGGGGGTGTGTTCATCAGTGCAAACCTCTTTGCTTTGCAGGTCATTCCCAGAGCAGGGGTCCTCAAGCCCCACTGGACCCAGGGTAGGACTCATCCCCCTTTGCACTTTGCTGTGTTCCCCTCGGGATCAGTTCAGTGACATTCCCAATCCCCATTGTGCTGGGGATTATGCATTTAACTGAACCCACAAAGATACCCCTTCAAAAGCCCCAGAAAGCTTAAATTTCCTTTTTTTCTGCCTGGACCACCTTTCCTTGTTTTACCACTAGATGGGAGAGTGAGACTGAGCTAACTGAGGTGCTCCCATCCTTATCCCGGTAGGAATTCCGAGGGGAGAAGACTCCTGAAAGATGCCCGTGGGTCATCCTGCAAATCCTCCTACCTCGGGAAGGGAGTGGGTAGCCCCCAAAATGCTTGGTTGTTTCCTAATCCTAAAAGTGCATGGTTAGGGGGGACTAATGCTTGCCTGGTGCTTTCCCAAAATACCAGGATGCCAGTGGATCCCACTCTGGAAGGGGGATTCACCTACACAAAGACTGTGTATATTCTTGGGGTAAATATTTAATATTTTTTCTCCCATCCACCTGTCCTGGAGCAGAGGGAGATAGGGGAAACACTTGCAATTCACTCCTCTCATCCACACCCCAAATTCTGTTTCCCAGGAATCCAGGTGATCCCAAAAATCACAGAAACACAGAATCACAAAATGATTAGGGTTGGAAGGGACCTCCAGAGATCATCTAGTCCAACACCCAACAGGTAAATGTAAATAAAGCAGCATTTTCTCCTCCTTTCCTTCTACAGGATTTTCTTTCTCCTATAGGATTCTTGTGTAATGATACTCCCAGTGAAAAAGTAAAACTGGGCTGTTGCAATGATTGTACTTGCAGGAGGAGAATTCATGCCCTGGTCCAACACCACTCGCCTCAGAGCTGCTTTGGGTGAGGGAGGGGATGGCACCCACTTCATTAACATCTTAATAATAAATTTACTTTCACTGCAGCACTTCCCATCTCCTGAGACTTCCCAAGGTTTTGCTGAGACTGGATATATTCAGGAATTATATAGCTGTAGAAGCAGTTTCTCAGCCAAATCCAATTGTCTAGTTTGACTATTTTTACTATTACTAGCTTTGGGACTTTAAAGAGGAACATTTCTACTTGCTTCCTGAGACTTCACAGATTCCGGAAGAAATTTCACAGGAGACAAATTTTCTGACTGCCTGTGTGACTACGTCAGAACATGTAATCCCTGTAAAGTGGAAATAATCTTTTTTGGGGGTTTTGCTTTTTGCCCAAACTTCCTAATTTGCAAACTCTTCAGAGAAGTGACTCAACTGATTTGCTCAATGCCTGGCACAGTTTGGCAATGAGATGAAATAATTCTAATAACTTCCTTAACTGCAGTGCCCTGGTTGCCTCTGTTGTGGTCTCTTGGCTTTGCCTGCACAGAAAATATCTGTCATTATCCTGCTAGACATAAATAACAGCTTCTTTGGAAGACAGAGATTGTATTTTTTACTGGACTTATCTACTCTTATTTTCCATAAGCAACAGCCACCCCACCCTGTGTGTGCAATGAGGCCACTGAGTCACCAGCACGAAGGAGTGACCAGCTCATACATCTCATCAGGGAGGACTCAAAATCCCTTCCAAAGAAGAGAAGAGACATCTTTCTTCAGATGATAATTAGAGGTGAAAAAATGTAGCCTGGAAGCAATTAAAAAAAAAAAAAAGACATTCCAGACCTGGCAGGTCCAGGTCACATCTCCTTGTGCAAAGGTTTGCTTGCTCAAGCCCTGGCACAGGCCACCCAGGGCAGAGGAGGAGTCCCATTCCTGGAGGGATTTAAAAGACATGTAGATGTGTCACTTGGGGACATGGTTTAGTGGTGGGCTTGGCAGTGCTGGGGGAATGGTTGGACTTGATGATCTTAAGTGGCTTTTCCAGCCTATGGTTCTAAATGACTCTGTGATTCTGCCTCCTCCTGAGGGGCATTTTGAGCTCCCAGCTGAGCTCAGAGTGGGGCACGTGCTGGTGAAGTACATGGGAAGTGCTCCATGGGGCTGAGACATCTTTGGAGGGGCAAGAGGCAGCTGTGTGATGGTAAGCACAGAGCACAAATTAACAAAAAACTATTACCAGGGTGAACATCAGCCCCAGGACACCAAGGCATCCCCAGACCGAGGGCTCTGCACAGCAGGAGATGTTGGCACCCTCTCTGATGGCATCCATGGTCAAATCCAGCCCTGATGAAATCCAGCAGGTCAACCTCTCCTGTAGACCTTGATCCTGTGAGAGGAACTACAGGGATGGATTTTCAAACTCACTCAGAACCAGCTGGATTGAGGCCTTATCTGAGATAGCAATAGAATCAGCCATGTGATTTCTTTTCCATGTTTACAGGGGCAATATTTTTCCAAAGTTCAAAGTCTTCCTCTGCAGGAAGCATGTGATATGCTTTGCAGTCACACCATATTTTGGTGCTATGAACAATTAAAAAAATCAATTTCCGGAGCAATATTTTCTATGTTTGTAATCTCTGAACTAATTACAGGGCTGGAAAATCAATAGCTATCTGGAAATCTTTCCAATACAGCTAACTAAGCATGCTGCATATCATGCTGGAATATATTCTTCACAAACACATGCTGCTCATGACCATCTCCCAGATCACACAGGCAGATGATATCACTGTTAATAAGCCTCTGTGCTTCAGTGCACTGCAATGGCAGCATTTACCAAAATCTGCAGGGGGGATTGGGCAGAGCAAATAGCACAGTACATGAGAGCTGGAGCAATGCCTGTGCCAGCATTTTAAGCCAATGACAAAAACAGTTGAAAGACTCATTTAGTTCAACAGGAACCTACAAAAAGATTATGAAATAAAGTCATTAAAAGTTCATGCCTTAGTTATGATGTTGTTTTTTTCATCATGCTGTATTAAGATAAAAAGTAAAACCTTTGGTGACTGAAAATAACCTCTTTGTCTAGTTTCCTAGCAAGAGAGAAGTGGTGTTAAATGGGTAGTTTGATGACATCAAAAACACATGTGAAGAGGAAGGGTGTTGCTCTGATGGATGGATCTCCTCTTGCTGTACAAACACCCTCTGTTGACCATGGCAGCTCAGTTGGAGCCAAAGCTCAAACCCTTGTGCTGATGCTCTTCACTGCTTCCCACACACACTGCAGGCATTGCTGGGATCTTCTCCAAGATGCTGCCGCCTCCCTTGTGCCCTGCAAGAGCTCAGTGTGCTCCTCCTTGGTATGCTGGAGTTTGTGCTGCTGCTAAATGAAGAGGAAATATTCCCATCGGACACGGTGCCAGCAGCACAGCAAGTGGATAAGAAGCACAGACCAGAGTACAGGGGATTTTCCCCTGGCTCCCATTTGCACTCCTGCTTGGTACAAGAAAATGATGAATTCTGAGCTGTCACAAAGCCACAAAAAATTTGCTCTGATTTTATATGTTTTTCTCTGATTATTCTTCATAGCTTTTTCCCCCCCAGTGAACTGACATCTCTGCCCTCACTCTCTCCCCAAGCCGGGAGATTCCTGCAGTTCTCCAAGGTGGTGATCCTCATCCTGGAGTGGAACTTTGGGTCTGGTAGCCCATGAGTTAAGGTGCAGCATACACCTTGTCCCAGTCCTCATCTCAGGAGACAGGCTGTGATTTATAGTCCCTCCTAAATAATTTGGCAAGTTAGTTATGCTCAAAGAATTTGAATTTTTGAGCTGGACATGATGCCTGTAGTGATCTGGATTGGAACTATTGTCATTATTAATTTCTGTTTGTATTTCTGTAGCACTCCCATGTGCAGATGAGGATTTCCTGTGCATGGTGCAGCACGTTGGCACAGAGAAAGGAGCCCTTTCTGTCAGCTCCAGGCTGACAGCCTGCCTGGAACAGCAAGCCCAAACCTGAGAGGGGCTGGGGGTGTTGATGGCAACAGAACACAAAACACACACTCCAATGGTGTGGCTCTGCTAATCTGGGCTGTTTCCTGCCAAGAAGCAACAACTACAAAAATATTGTGCTTATCATTACCACAGTAAAAGTTTCTCTTTTAACTTCTTAGGCTGAAATGACCTTGATGGTGACGCAGAGCTGCGGGTGCCACGCGCTGCTCAGGCTCTGCAGGACCAGACCTACAGCTGCTGCACTAAACTTCAATGTCTTCTCTTCAGATGATGATGTGTTTGGACTTTCCTTTTATTCTTGCCAATCTAATGTCATATTGCCTTCAAATAAAACTCAGTTGGTGTGTGAGAACTCACTTCTGTTTCTCTCTTAGGAAAGGAAGGCTGCGCTGTCTGTGCATCACCTAACAGGAAAGACCTCAGAACAAAGAGCTCAGACCCTGCAGAAATCTTTCGAAGAGGAGCTCCTGCTCTCCCTTATCTGTTTTAAAGTTAACACATCACACTTTGTACATGCTCAGCAACAAAGTTCCTAATGTTGTTTCCCGATAACTCAGAGGCCCAGGACGGCAGTGCCATTGCTGTTTTACAGAGGGCGAGAGCAGGACACTTGCTCCCCTGGCTGCTGACAATCAGCACTTTGGGAACATCCCACACTAGAGGTTTGCACAGAGATTATTGGGTTTCACAGCCACTAAAGCATGTGTCACCCATGAATTTGTATAATTATTCCTCAAATACAGTTACATTTTTGGCTCTGCAATGCCTCTGGCATCAGTTGCTCCTATTTAATCAGAAGCTGCTTTAAACCTCCTACCTCATCCTTTCATTTACAGGATCCTTTGCTCTGGTAGTAATAAAGGCAGCTCACATAGTTGAGCAGAATGGATTCTGATGCTCCAGCTTGCAAAGCCAAAGGGTCTTACAGCGGCAGGATAACACGAAGTCTGGTAAAAATCCCAGGGAGGGATTTTCAGAAGTTCATTTCCCACTGCAAGCCAGCACCAGCCACCACTCTTGAAAAATCCCATCTTTGTTTGTTATTTATTACATGTTTCCTGTGAATGAATTTCTGGCTCAAATTAGAGTTGTAATAAAACTCTAAAAAAATATTATTTTAGAAAAAACTTAGATCTGTCCTTCCGTCCTGGGGATTTGTTGCTTGTTCTGCAACAGGAGATGTGAATCATGGAAGTATCTATAACAGCAATATTAGGAAATGACCATTCAGGCACCAGAGATCTGTATCAGACATTATGCCTTTAAATAAATTGTCTGTTACTATGTTAATCTAATCTTGTAAATACATGCACACTTAACTATATTAAAAATGTAAATGCTCCCAGAGCTGGACTTCACATGATGAACGTGAACTCCCCTTTTTTCCTTGCCAGCTCTGCAGATCTTGGAGAAACAAGGATTGTTTAATTTGATGGGCATTAATAAGGTTGATGTCTGCACTGATTTAGCCAAAAGATTGTCACGATCATCTCAGGCCCCACGTGGCTCACAGGCCTGAACTCGAAGAAACATCTTTCAACAGCCGCTGGTGACGGAGCGATTCCAGCTCTGGGAGCACCTCCAGCCAACTGACTTCCCTCCCGTGGCACTGAATTTGCATTCATTAAAACCAGAGTTTTAATGACTTATGGAGATTTATAAAAAATGGCAGCCCAGAGCTGCTGACACTCCCAAAGCTTCTGACAGAAGTACAACGCACCATAAACGCTGATGTGAAATATTGAATGAAAACCAGTGCAGGTATATCTGCAAGTGTTAACATGACTCATAAAATCAGGGATTTAGGGAAACTAAAATTATCGGTGCACCCCAAACTTGAGGAGATAGTAATACATGTAATGACAATAATATAAGAATGTTAGTAATAACACTGCTAATATGATTACCAGTCTCCTTGTCATTGCTTATTACCATCACTGCCCTGATAATTCTCAGCTCTAAGAATGGAGAGAGGCAGAGATTCCCCCACGCTTTCAGAAACAGGCTCTGTGCTTTGGGAAACAAATTCCAGTTTCTCCTATTCCTTAGAACAGCTACCAAGATCCTTAGGATGAGCCTAGCCTGGGAAGACTGTGGAGGAGCCTTCTGCCACTCAAACAGCAAGGCGTGCATTGGCTCACACTGAGCGCCGGGGGCTGTAAAACCTGAGTTTAAAACAAACTTCCCGCTGGGATAGGCTCCTTTTCATTTACAAGTGAATCAGCAGAGATGGCAAGGCTGATTTGCCATGCCACTGCCCAGCATCTTTTAAAGATTTTTTAGGAGACAGATTGCTTCCAGGCGACCTCTGTGCTGCCTTGCCACACCTTCTTCCTTGGATACCTTATCACAGTTGTTATTAGCTCAGGCAAATCCACAGCACAAGCTCATTATCTTTACATCTCTCTCACCCAAGATGTAACCTATTTTGAGATGCTGTACGTGGAATCACCAATAACTAAGTAAAAAAAACTACTCTGCACCTCTGAGGACACCTTCATCCAAGGCAGGATGGACCAAAACATATGTGGAGAAGTGAGCAGAGCTGAGGAGCAGGGATGCATCCCCCTGCAGCCAGAGCAAATGATGACTGCAGCTCTGCACAGTTGAACAGGAAATGTGGGGGAATTCCCCAGCTCGGACACTTTTGACGCATTGCTTCAACTTTGTGCATCTGTTGTCCTTTCCACTCTGTTTATTTAAAATATAAACGGTTTGAAACAGGGCCTTACTCATTGGTGATTATCCAGCACCAGCCAAAACAGCGCCCTACCCTTATTGTGGAGGAAATGATTTGTATATAATAAAGCAACATGAGTGTGTGTACATGGAGCAAATGCTTCCTGGTTTTCCTGACCACACCATGCAAACAACAGGCTCTCCTACACTTCATTTTGCAGCTCTTATTTTAACCCAAAAGAGCAAGAATCCCATTCACCTTCAGCTCCAAGGGGCACAGTAAGGATGAGACAAAAAGCCAGCACCTTTCAGCTCTATCCTGAAGCCCCTGCTTCAGAGGAGGAGGAGGAGGCAGTGATGTGAGCAGCATCACCACAGTCCTGGATGAGCCTTGGTGAGCTGCTGGGTCTGCTTCTGCTTCGGCTCCTGCCCCAGCTCTCAGTTCCTTGTGTGTCCCTGAGCTCCAGCAGCAGCTGTGGGAAAGGTACAACACTGCTGCCCCTGCACTGAGCAGAGAGGGGACCGCAGGGCTCAGCATGGTGGCTGGATGTCAGATGTCTGCCCACGCCTTTGCCCTCCTCCCTGCCTCGCACAGCGTTAGCTGGGCTTTTCCATTACCCAGGTTATCCTGCGCACTCCGGGAAATGGAGCACTGATAGCACTTTAAAAGCTAAACATACAGTGCCTGAATTATTTATCTCTGAACATGCAGAAACGGGCCAAATTCCCAAGTGATGTGGAACAGCTCCTGTAAAAAATGCAAAAGGGGCTGCAAAGGCTTCACGGATGTGCAATGCAGGAACTGCACGGTCAGAACCTCACATGTGCATGTGTCACATATGCTGAGATTCTTCCTGACAAGGTGGTTTATGGTCTGGAGGGTGTAGAGTGCTCAGCTGCAGGTGCTGGTCTGGAACTGCACAAGGAACTGCACTGGAACTGCTCTGTGCCTCAAACCAACCACTGTGACAGCAAGTCCCCAAAGAGCAAAGAAAAAGGCTCAAACAAATGTGTTAATGCAAATGCAGGGGGTTCAGGGTGTCCCGCAGCTTTCCTGCTCAGCCCCCTCAGCTCTGGAGGGGTTGTGCCTCCTCTGCAATCATTAACTGAGCCATGCCCAGCCTGACAGTGCCTGGCACGATATCGTAACCACACAGATAGCACCGTGATAGCCGTGTTTGTGCTCCGGGTTCAATAATGCCCCTGCCTCTGCCCCTGCACTTTCCCTTCCTTTTACTCCAGCTGAGCTCCAGCAATAGCTGGAGGAAAGATGAAAATCCTGTCTTTGCTTTCTGTCACCAGAGACACAGACACAGTTCTTTCAGCACTGTTGCATGGATGTACCCCAGAATTTCTCCATGAGCATCCCAGGGGTGCAGGGAGGTTGGTATAGCCCCGGGACGAGGATGGGCAGCCCGAGCCCTGCCCGGGGGCTGCATGTGCCGGGGGAAATCGGGCGGTTTTGATATGATGCAGAAGCCCTTACCCCTGCTCCTACCCTTGCTCCTACCTTACCCTTACCCCTACCCACAACCCTACCCCTAACCCCAACCCCATCACTGTTCCCTCCTTACCCACCTTCCTCTCGCTCCCCTATCCCTCTCCCCATCCACCTCTTGCTGTCCCTCTGCCCCTTTACTCCCCCCCCAGGACCCTCTCCTTGCCCTTCCTCTCCCATCCCCGTCCCTCTCCCCCATCCCCTCCCGTCCCCCCCCCCCCTCATCCCCTGCCTTATCCCCACTTTCGCTTCGGCCTCAGTTTCCCCACCATTGGCCCGGTCGCCGCCCGCGTCCGTCGCCGATTGGAGAAGGTGTCCGTCCGTCAGGATCGAGGTGCCCGCCCCGGGGAGCGCGGGGGCGGCGGAGCGAGAGCGGCGGCGGCGGGAGCGGCAGCGGCAGGTACCGGGCACCGCACCGGGCACCGCACCGGGCACCGCACCGGGCACCGCACCGGGTGGGGGGCGCGGGGCGCGGGGAGGGATGAGAGGCGGGGGGCTGCCCGGGAGACCCTCCCCGTCACGGCAGGACCTGCCGGGCGGTGCCACACGAGGCTGCGGGAGCGGCGCGGGGGAGCCCCGAGGAGACGGGGATGGGCGCGGGGCATCCTTGGGGCGGTGAGAAGCCCCGCGGGGGGATGAGAAGCCCCACGGGGGGATGAGGACCCCCGCGGTGGGGCGGGGGGGTCTCGGGGCTGGGATGAGCGGTGCGGGGATGCAGCTCTTATCCCCGGCGTGCGGGCTTTTGTGTGCGCTCGGTGGGTCGGGGAGCAGAGCTCGGGGTCCGTGCCGGCAACAGCCCGGTTGATGCCACGGTGGGGGGAGAGAGTCACCGAAATGTCCCAACTCATTGAGATTTTCCGCTTGCGATGGTCCCCGAGGATGCTTCAAGCCTGTAACTGAAATTTGTTCGGACTGATTCACTGCGGTTTGGGCTTTTCCTTTCTGCGAAACCGTGTCTTTCTATGGTAAATTAAAAAGATGCCGAGAAAAGGCGGAAAGTAAGGAAAGGTAGTAAAGTGGCATGGCAAAAGAATCCTTGCAACAAGAAAAAAGTGTTATGTTAATGATAAAATAATCCCTGTTTCACAGGGGCAGTAACTGAAGTTAGAGAAGGAAGTACCAGGCAGGATGCTGAGCAGAACTGGAGCACTTTAGTCACTTGCCCTATATTACTTTTATAACCCATTTGTTCAGATGATAATAATCGAAAGCTGTCATAATAAAACCATGGTTTTCAGTTCTGAGAGCTTAAAAGGCACAAGTGGACCTTAATCACGGGTTTGTTGCATTAACATTTTATTACCATTTTATAGGCTGTTTGGTTTTACTAGGCAACACGCTACAAAACTGAAGTTATCCTAGTCTGGCACCTCTTTTTATAATATATATATTTCTGGGCTCCTACTTTCTGTAGTGCCACTTGGTTGTAAAAACATACATTAAAATAGCATTTGAGGCAGAATGAACACAAAGGAGATCTTTAGAAAAGTATGTCAGGGCTCTTGTAAACGTGCGTGCGAGGAAGGATGAAACTGCAGGGAGAGAGGGTTAGTCAAATAATGAAAAGGGAAAAAAAAGGTGGCTATTTATATGCAAAGAGGTCTGGCCTGCAAGCTGCCAAAAATGATCAGAAACTAAAGCAGCAGCCCTGTGCACTGAGTGGGCTGTGAGGGACAGGCCAAAGCCACCTGCCCGGACACGACTCTGCCTGAACTCTGCAGTGTGAGATGAGCATGGTCAGGTGTGACAAGTGCCACCTGAAGCCCTGGGAAGTAGCCATTCCATTGACATTGCCTTAATTTGTCCTGCACGTGGGAGAAACCCACTAAGTGACAGTGGCAGAAACATGAAATGTGACCCTGGGGTGAGAGATGAGGCAGGAAGCAGCAAATCCTGTCAGGGTTGGATATTCTTGGCCAGTGAAACCAAGAACTACCTGAGCAAGTACTGGCTAGAAGTCTTTACAGAGATTAGAGATTTGCAGGCAAGGGGGAAGATGGGATCAGCCACTAACAAAAGAAATACCCAGGGGCTTAGGGAGATCAGCATCCAGCTGCTCGGTGCCTCATGATTTCCAACTCCAAACTCCTCCAGGCAGCTTTAATCTTTTTTTTGTGTGTCTTTGCAGCACAGAGTATGCTGGGGAGGATCTTGCCCTCTGATTTGGGGCTTTACATCCTGTGGTAGCACAAAAAGTGAATCATGGCTCTGTTTTATGCTGCTCATTTTGCTCAGTCCACCCCAAAAAGCATCACTGAGCGCTTGTTTTACTTTCCTTTAGTCTGAGTGTACCAAGCCCAGAAACCTGCCTTTGCTGATGGGCTTGGTCACAATCTGCAGGCGAAGGTGCTCATATGCAAGATTGCCATACACTTTGCTTTACCATTTGGGTTTTTTGTCTTCCTCATGTGTTTCCTTGAGCTGCTGCCCACTAGTTGATTATTCAGAGCCTGGGACGTTCACACCTTGCAGAATCCCATTAATGCAACAGTGAATGGTGGAAAAGCTCTGCATGACTCTGCACCCATGGAGCAGAGCTGGAGGCTGGTTGCTGGTGGGTTAGTGAGGTAAGGAGTATGATTTCAGGTGAAAGGTTCCCCCTTTGAATTTTATGCTTAATGAGTTGAGGTCACTGGATTAAGGAAATGTGTAGGAGTTACTAACCACAGGCTGTTATGGACGTAAGCAGCCCTGAAATGCGTCGGTCTGGATTTCAGTGGCCACCCTGAAGTGTCCTGTGCTTCCCAAGTACACTTAAAAAACACATCATCTTGGTCTGGTGAGGGGCTGATCCTTGTGCAGAGGAGCAGAATTTGGAAGCTGTAATAGTCCAGAGCACCCCACAGGCAGAACGGGGGGCTTTGACCATGGGGTTGGTGGCAGCATGGCTCTCCCTGCGCATGTCCCTCATCAGCTTTCCAGCTATCCCAGCCTCTCTAGCTGTGGGATCCTCAGATGCAAGAGCTGTTCCTCTCCTGGAGCCACTCTCCTTTCCCTTTTCAAAACTGATTTATTGCTAGACCTCCCTGTGATATAATTAGTTTTGTTCCATCTTGGCCTTGAGTGACCTCCTGGCGTGCGAGTGGGGATGCTGAGCGGCAGGATTTGAGAACAAAGAGTTTCTGCAAACACGTTCTGGGAAAAATGCTCTGAGAGAGGTCAAGGACTCAACTGGTTTATGAATCCCAGACAAAAGCATCCATCCTACTTCAGTAGCTGGGATGAGTGATTGTAGACAAGTACTCAGTGGGCCACTAACTTTAGTAGATTTTGTGTCAGACCTCTCGTTAGTACGGTTGAGAGCATGTGATGAGGCAGCGAAGTCTTTAATATTAACAGGGTAGTGTTATTCTGACCTTAAATCTCTCCTCAGCCAGAAGTACCTCTAAATCTGGGATTCTACAGTGTTGCTGCTGCCAAAAATAATGTCATTCCACCTCTATTTGTAAATGAGCTTGAGCAATGGGAATATGTTAGTGCTGGGAAATACTCCGTTTATTCTGGTTCATCTCGTTCAGCAAAGAGCGGAGCCTTTCCAGCAGTTCTTGAAATTCTTGGAGCAGTGAAGACACTTAGTGCCATTTCTTCCCTTGTGCTATTTCACTGACATATGTAAAGTTACACTAAAAGTAAATTTAATTGCTATTGTTAATGGATATAATATATTGCTGTATGGCATCTATGATTTTCAGTTGTTTGAATTCCCAGAGCTTGGCTTGGTTGCTTCAAGAAAGAAAATGAAATGCTGACAAGCTTTGTTTAACCGTGGCTGCTGATTTGAAGGAAGTCATTTTCATGTTGAGAAGGCAAGATCAAACACTTTTTTTTCCTAAGAAATACTTTGACTTTGCAATGTTCTGACTAAAAAAAAAATCCAAGAAAAAGTGCTTTTTGACATTTTTATAGCTTCATATTTGTGAATTCAAGTGCTTTGGGTATGATGTGTGATAGGAGTTTATTTTTCTAGATGGAATTAAGAGATAAAAAAATATGTTAAAATTCTATACTTTTGATAAATGGTACCAACCCATGACACAGAAATAAAAAGTCCCCAAAACATCAGAAGGACATGGGCTCTTTTAGATTTTTCTGTTCCCTCAGAGCCTCCCCTTGAAAAACTGCATCAGTCTTTTTAGCCTGCCAGACTCCAAATAAATGAGATTTGAACATTTAATTCAAAATTTCTTTTGCTTTAAAAGCCCCATAGGGAACAGAATCTCAGCCCTTGCTGCCAGTCGGAGCAGCAGCAAAGCTGCTGTACCTTGCCTTGGCTGGAAGGGTTTTGCCCAGGCCTTCCCTCCATGACTGACCTGATCCTGCACTACTTCAGCATAATCAGGACAGGGCAGATGCCACAGGGTTTTATGTTAGCATAAGAATTCCCAGAAAAAAGGGATTTCCTCGCAGTGCTTTCAAAGCAACTTTACGGTCTCCTTTGTATTTCTGGAGCGGATTCAGTCTCATGGAGGATTTAAATCTTTGAGCCAGATGTGGGCCTTGGTTACAGCAGAATCAGCCTTTTCTGGAGTCCCCATATAACCCTGACATATAACCTGTGATCCTGTTAGTGTTGCATATTCTCCTCTATTTGGCAAAAAAACTTGAGAAGGATATTTTAACATGTGAGAGAAACTGAATTGAAAGGAGTGAAAAGTAGGTAACGAGGCTGTGATACACTGATTATGTCTCCAATATTTTTAAATTATTTAAAATTTGAAATATTGCCTTTTTTCAAGAGGCAATAAAAAGACTTCCTTACCTACCACCACAAACAGCCAATTTTTATTCCCTTGAATTCCCTTTTACTGTCTTTGAGTGATCTCGAGGACCCTGCTTGGATGCCTTGTGTGAACAAACACCACCATGGGTAAGCAGCAATGGCTGGATCAAGCCCATCACTTCTGATCAAACTCAGTCTTCAGTGACCCCCTTCAAGCTGATGACCAAGGACAAGGTTGTGTCCATTTCTCTTGGCACCTCAGTGGGGAATGTAGGTTGTGAGCAGGTCCATACCAAGGAAAATAAAAAATTCCTGACCCAGAAATGGAAACCTCACTATGTTGCTGCGCGGAAGCAGGAATCCCTTGAAGGCAGTTTCCAGATTTCCAAGTAAATCCATCCTCCAACAGCTGCTTGTCTAAGGCCGTGATTCCTCATGCGTGAGAAAAGGGAGGGTACAAGGTAGGACGTGTCTCCACACTGTGCATGGACAGCAAACCCCTCTGAATCCCAGCAGATGTTTTGGGTTGGTGCTGGAACATTATATGCCTGTTTAGTCCTTTATCTCAGGAAGAAACACCATTTGGCACCAGTTTCTCCCTGGCAGTCTGAATGAATTAGTGACCTGGTTGAGTGTTGTCAGATGAAGGACGTGCCAGCCTGCAGGAGGGGCGGCTTGCA